CAAAGAATGAAGCATCTAGCAGCTTTCTAGTAGACCTACAACTAGCCAAGACTTAGCAACAGTACTCAGAACAACAGTACCCCATAGCTCATACTGAAACCAAAGGTTCCCTTAAAACTGACCCAGACAAGGGACATGCTTCTCTGAAAAAAGGGGTGGTGTGACATTGAGACTCCTGCACTTCAGCTGACAGATTAAGTGACCATTTCTTCTCTGAGCAGTCTGGCACATAGTTTTTCCTGGCACTTAGTGCCTGATAAGCCAAGGCTTTTGATTACAGACTTTAAGTGCTTTGAGATGCTGGGTACAGAAGTCATTTAGCTTATGAAGGTCTTAAGTTCACAACCTCACTCAAAAAATAAGATACTAACACAAAAATAAGGAAACTAACCCTTTTCAAAGATGCCATATTACACACCACTTCCATCTGCAAAGGCCTTTAGAAGGAGAAATTAACACTTCCTTTGACACAGCTTGTGCTCTAGAGTGAGATACTCAGTCCTGTTGCCTTTGAAGTTATATTACTGCTTCAGGCTTGAAAGTGCCATAGGAAACTTAAATGGATTCCAGATGCTTAAGAATTCAGCCATACTACTGTCACCAGGCATTAATAGTAAGCTAAAATGTCAACATTTATTAATTTAAGGCAAAGCTACACAAGAATTTACAGAATTTAATATGCTTTGAGATTAGTGTTGCATTAACACTGTTTGAAGAACTTGGGGGGGGGGGTTTGCCTTTATTAGCAGCAGCCCAGGACATTGGCTTTGCACATTGAAGCCACAAGTGAGCTCAGATGAGTATGTAGCAGGCCAGCTACATGACTGCATCAAGAAGATTCACTTGCCTCTTCTGTTGATTTTAGTTTGTAAACACAATCAGTAACAATTCTGCTTCAAACAGATTTAACAATGATGTTGTCAGTGGACACTCAAAGGAAAACTGGGAGAAATCATGGGCATTTAAGCTTCTTAGCTAACACCACTTCAGTCAGAGTATTTTGCCATAATCCTACCAATATAGGTAATAAACTTCTTTGCTTGAACACAGCTATGCAGGTCATTGTTGTACAAGGTTCACCTTGTACCAAGATGGTTCTGAAGTTCCAGCTGAAGACAGAGCACCCACCCCACAGCCCCACGTGCAACTCTGCACTCTACAGATGCCAGAGAAATCAAACTACATTCTGACACTTGGGTGCCTCTGACATCACACTCAAAATGTGATCTCAATCAGTCTGCAGTGGCAGCACATCAGCTGAAAGAGCATTAAATGGAAAAGCCTGATGAAGAGCTTGTTAAATGAAAGCTTAGTGTGATAGTGCAACTGCATGGCCATAGAACTGAAAAAAAAAAAATCACACAGACAAAATATAAATATATAACAAAATACATAATTTAAATACAATCCACCACAGCCAAAAATCTTTAACTCAGAATTTAAAGGCAGCTGAGATAAAGTACTACAAACTGACTTAAAATGCCTGGGTCCAGAATCAGAAATCCAGCTGTTTCCATCACTGTTTCCTCAGTTAGGACCACCACAAAAGCTTAACCAAGATGAGCCCACCAAGGTCAATCCACATGCTACTACAAAAGGAAAAGGTTTCCAACTGGATTAGCAGCCATACAGCCACACCACAATTAGTGCTGCCACCAGGAAGGTGACAGCTACAGTTTGTGGGCAGGAGCCTTCACTTAGACCTCTTTGTAGAGGCTTATCCTCACTTTCAAGTTATATGTGCTTTATTAGTATAAAAAAGAGCTGAGGCATAATTGCTTAATGAGAAGTAGTCTCATTATCTATTATTTATGAAAGAAGTGAGTGAATGTCACACAAGGTGTCAGTTCTACAAGATTGACAGCCTGTACCACTCTGATAGTTTGAAGCTCTCCATGTCTTCATTCTAGCCAATTAGTCTAGCTTGATGGATTCCAGAGTGCTTGACATGACCTGTTCAGTTTCCTAATCAGCAGTTTAAGGAAGACTACTTACAGACAGCAGATCAAGTCCATCTTCATCTAAGTTTTTGACATGCATTCCAAGACTGCCAGGCTTCCATTTGGGGAATGTGTTCTTGTAGTCTTGCAGGGATTCCACATCAGGCCATACCTCATTGTTGGGGGTCCCTAAAGCTCTAGGAAGCATAAGCAAAATATTAAGCAGTTTAGCCTGAAATCTGTTTGCTTGATCATGGTTTCAAACGGCACAGCACTCTTGTGCAGTGCTGCACAAGCAGGAAGCAGAAGTCCAGCCTGACATACCTGAAGATTCTGAAAAGCTGGTCAATCTCTGAGTCTCCATGGAAAAGTGGCTTTTTAGTTGCCAGCTCAGCAAATATGGTACCTATGCTCCATATGTCCACAGGAGTAGAGTAACGGGCGGATCCCAGCAACACCTCTGGAGACCTGTACCACAGTGTCACTACCTATGGAACAAGGGCATTTTTTAAACTTCTAGAATCAGATCCTCCAATTGATGGCAAGCACAGTGGCTCAACATTATTAGGCCAAATTCACAGGTATTTTTGGTTAAACTAAGCAGTGCTAGAAGATTTAGTGAAAATACTAGTTTTGAGATTCATTGCATTAGTTTCTACTGCAAACAAACCCCTTGCCTACACTACATAGAATGTCTGGGCTGGAAGGGACCTCCAAAGGTCATCTAGTCCAACCCCCCCACCATAAGCAGGGACATCTCCAACTAGATCAAGCTACTCAGAGGCTCATCCAGCCTGATCTTGAATGTCCCCAGGGATGGGGCCTCCACCACCTGTCTGGGCAACCTATTCCAGGGGTCTGTCACTCTAATACTGAAAAACTTCTTCCTAATGTCTGATCTAAATCTCCCCTTTTCTAGCTTAAAGCCATTACCCCTCATCCTGTCACTACGAATCCTTGTGAATAGACACTCCCATGCTTTCTTGTAGGCACCTCTCAGGTACTAGAATGTTGTTATAAGGTGCTCCCAGAGCCTCCTCCAGGCTGAACAGCCCCAACTCCCTCAGTCTGTCCTCACAGCAGAGCTGCTCCAGCCCTCGGAGCATTTTTGTGGCTCCAGGGGAGGTCTCACCAGAGCACCATCTGCTGTCCACACTTCTTTTGGTGCAGCCCAGGATTGGATTGGCCTCTGGGCTGCTGCTGCACATTGGTGGCTCATGTCCAGTGTCTCATTTACTGGTACCCCCAAGTGGACTGCTCTCTCCCAGCCTGTATTGGTAATGTTGGTTGCCCCTCCCCTGGTGCAGGACCCTGCACTTGGTCTTGCTGAACCTCATGAGGTTCACCTGAGCCACCTCTCCAGCCTGTCCAAGTCCCTCTGGATGGCCTCCTGTCCCTCTGGCATGTCAAAGGCACCACCCAGCTTAGGATCAGCACACTTGCTGAGGGTGCACTCAGTGCCACTGTCTGTGTCATTGATGAAGATGTTCAACAACACTGGTCCCAGTATGGACCCTTGAGGGACACCACTGGTCACTTGTGCCCAGCTAGATGTCGAGCCATTGACCACTACTCTCTGGGTGCCATGCCAAAGAGCAGGAAGCCTTCACCACTTAGCCACTAGTCCCCTCAAACTTGAGTACTCTGTGAAGCAAAAATGTTGTGCAGTGTCTCATAAGAGCAAGTTCTGGCCCATCTGGTTCATTGTCAAGGTAACAGTGGGATTCCCAAGTGCTTGGTATTCTTAGAGTAAAAACAGTCAGGTAGATGGAAATCCACTGAGTAAAACAAAACTGAAACACGAAGATCTTTTTATAATGTTAGTTTAGGACTTCAAAAACTGATTCTTTTTTTTGCCTTTTCATATTCAGTTACTACCAGGAAGCTAGTAAGCACTGCCCCAATCAGCAAGAGGACATTCCAACTCACTTCATGAGTGTACACACGCACTGGAATTCCAAAGGCTCGAGCCAGTCCAAAATCCGCCAGTTTAATCACTCCCTTGTCATCTATTAAGAGATTCTGAGGTTTTAAGTCTCTGTGCAGAACTCTTCTTGAGTGGCAGAAGACAATACCTTGCAAGATTTGATACAAGTAACTCTGGAAAGGATGAAGTGGGAGGAAAAAAGAGGAGCAACCTTTAGTCCAAGTTAACATTCTGCAACATAAAGCTGTTTCCTGACATTAGTTTTCCCCAGAGGAAATGGAGCCCCAAAGCACTGCAGGTAGTTTAGTAGCACAAAGCCACACAAATTAATTGCTTATTTAGGCTTACTGCAAGGCAGTTTAATTTCAGGAATGAAAAAAATTTGAAGTGGCTTTTGAAAGCAAACTCACATTCATCTTATTATCCACAGTTGCTTCTTTAACCTTTCATTTCTCCTCAAGGAGTTAATTATGCTGAAAATAAGACCTGCTTATAGTTTTAGAGGTCATCTTTAGATTAATTTCTCTCTTATAGAGATTGTCCTCCTTACCTTAACACGAGAACGATCCAGGTATTGGCCAGATGGAATGGTGTCCAAGTACTTCTTGAGATCCATGGAAAGGAATTCAAAGACGAGGTACAGTCTTGAATCCTGCATGAGAACATCCTGAAGACTGAAAATTGAGTGTACAGTCAATTCCATTGCAAAGTGCAGGGGGACTCAGTTACATTTTGTCTCTCAGCAGGGATACAGGCTGACATTTCCAAGCTCCTATTATGGAAGTCTTAAAAACCTTTCCATCTTCAAACATTAACAGACTCAGTGAGTTATGCTGTCACCTGGAAGATCAAGCATATCTGAAGTAGTATCAGACTGATAAAAACCTATATGCTTCCTTTTAGACTTATATTCCCTCATGCCTAATATCAGACACAAGTCTAAGGAAAAAATATTGTTGCCTTTAAAAAAAAGGCTGTGGGTGTTGGTGCCTAGCTTCTGTTTGAAGCTGGCTTATTACAGCAAAACTTGAATTACTAGGACAGTTTAAAGGAATATGATAATAGGAACCTAGTACTAACAGCAGGATTTGCACAGGTTTTTAAGTAGCTCCTTCATCCTTAATAGATTGTAAGGGTTCCTAAACCCAAGCATACAGAGACACTACACAGCTGGAATTTGGCCAGTTTTAAGGCACATCAGAGATAAAGTTTTGCTGCATCAAAGAGCAAGTAAATATTTTGTGGGGAAGACAGTAGCTGCAATCAATCCTACGTGTCAGCTAGCTCCTGGTGGAAGTTTCACTCACAGCTCAGACGTGCCAGCTATGGCAGCATTGTTTCAGAACATTTCAATCTCTGCTACAAAACAGCAAGAAAGTGAGTGATGACAGGGGCTTCAGTCAAATGGTCTATTCCAAGGTGGCAAGTAAAATTTTTAGACCAACTAAAGTTAACATCTTCAACCAGTTTTTCATGAGGTGTGCCATCTCCCTTTGGACAGTAAGTGCTCTGAAGATAGTTTACATAAGTTACAGAACCAACAAACATTCATTGGATTCCTAGAATGGTAAGGGGCACCATTAGGGAACCTTCCTTAGAAAGACTGGCATAAACACAGGATTGAGGCCTAGAGTTATTTGCTGCACAGCAGACCAGAGCTCACCAGGCTGGTGGAAAATTAATTTCTTATCTGAAGGGACCTAGTGCCCTTCAGAGAGTTTAGCTAAACAGCAGTAGACTCATACCAGACTATATTGGGATGATGCAGCTCTTTTAATAAAGAAATTTCTCGGATAGCAGTACTTGGAACACCTTCCTCCTCACTTTCTAGACGTATTTTCTTCATTGCAACCACTTGGCCTGTGGTTTTGTGCCGACCTTTATACACAACACCATAGGTACCTGAACAAAAAAACAGTGAGACGCATATAGGAAACACCAACTTCAGGTCCAGAGAAGTCACTGTAAAATAAGAACTGCTAACACAGGCAGGAGTCCTTCCAAACAGGTATTTCTTGTTTAGGTATTTGGATTGGATATGAACTACTATTTAGTTTTGGCCATTTGCAACATTTACTGCAAATTATTTAACGCATGCCACCCATAAAGAGACCCATTTGTTAGGACAGTGTACTTAAGAAGCCTATGTGTGAAGCCTGAATATTTGGAAGACAGCTGTAAAAATCAGATACTGTTTGAGTTTCAGGTTGATTAACTTTCAGGCAAGATCATTATACCTCTTCATCCTCAAGGGGTTATGTTTTTGCCATTGACAGATCATATTAAAATGTTAAAGGTTTGAAAACCAGGTAATGCTTCCTCTGCAGTGAGAGATCCATCCCTCCACTGCTCATGTCTATAGAAACACCTCCAGCACAATCCTCAGGGCAGGAGAGGGTAGTGCTGGAGGTCTAGACAGAAGCTAAAGCTGCAACAAATCTCAAGTTGATTCCATCTTTTAATCATCAGCATTCACAGAAGCAGAACCCTCACCAAACCAAGACAGCTTAAGTATTCTCTATTCACCCTTCCTGAAGCATTAGTCCCTCCAATTAAGCTCAAATTAGTTTCTTTCAGGAAGATTCATGCACAAGTAACAAAGGGTTGTTGTAAGATCTGGGCCCATACATTTTGAGATGACCTTTGGGATTGGCTCCTTAATGCACTGCAAATTCTCAAGTCTATATAAAGGTAAAACATTATCAAAGATGCTGACTTCTACATTTAGCATAGGCACCTTATAGTGAGATAATTGTTAAAAAATTCACTTCTCCACAGAGGTTTAAAGTCTGCTGTTTCCCTTGACAAGTGTAATGACAGGCATCAACAGAGCACAACAGTCCACAAACAGCTACTCACTACCAACACAGCTCTGAGCAAAATAAGTAAATCACACAGCCCAGCTTCAGGAGCAACAAGTTAATACACAAATGGAGGAACTTCCTAAATTGAAAAGCTGGTTTCAGGCCTCAGAGCACATTTTTTTTTCCTCTGTTCTTGAAGAATTACACTATTAGCCATCAATATGAAGGCAGATGCTTCTCAACACCCACCAGTTTTTTCAAATAGACCACATCATCTTCAAAAGAAGGGCAGTCTGAAAGCTTTTAAGTATAGAAAAAAAATACCACAATAAACCAGAGGTTTATTTTGCCAATTAGTTTCATGTCAGTAGTTCCTCTATCAGCCAGAGTGCACAGAGCTTCTATGACACTTGATAACTCAAACTGTGGTGCATTACAAGGCTTACAGTTCTCCATACTTACCTTCCCCAATCTTCTCTATTTTTGTGTACTCATCCATTGCTGTGGTTATCCCTGAAATGAAGAGGACAAGAAAACCATGAGGGTGAACCGTTGCTACCCTGAACACACCCAAGTCACTGAAACCATGCCAGGTCTTTAGAAGCTAGTCTTGTCTTACATATTTAGGATGTGATGTGGAACACTTACCACTCTCCTCAACAAAACCGTAGATTTTTATTCAGGGTTCCAACTAGAAAACCTACATCCCAAAGCATGAGTAGGCACCAACTCAACAGGGAAAGGTGCCTTTGTGAAGAAAGCTCCTCCAAGCAACTGAAAAAGCACGCCCTGCTCGTTAATTTTAAAAAGTTAACTCCTTTGCAGAAGCCTTGCTGCCTAAAATCACAGAGTTTGACGTGAGCAATGTAAGGGAACGCCAGCCCCGTATCATTGCATGGGTACGCGGTGTAGCCTTCAGAGCCACAAACCGACTA